CAGCTTCCAGTGGGTAGAGCTCTCCTAGCCCAGAGAGCGTAGCAGGAACAGCTCTTATAAGAGCTAGTGATTATACTCAGGGGAGTAAGCCAAGACTTCATGAAGGGATAAATGAATCTCTCTTTAATGGGAGCCACACTGGTCTTTTATGCAAGTCCCCAAGCAAGGTGTATGACTTTGTTGGGTCACAGGGACACAAACTTACAAACCAATAATAACACATTTACAATGTAAGGCACTCCCACACATAGCACACAATCCCTCCCCTCTGCTTGGGAGATAATTGGATGAGTAACTGTACTAATTCTAAACCAATTATTTCCGAGCACAGAAAAAACATACTTTTTTAAAACACCCCAAAAGTACCCTAAAAATACATTCAACTCCACAATCCCCTGATAGCCCTGATGTGGGTGACCAACCTATCCAAAAATCACCCAGATCAGTTCAGGGGTTCGGGAATTTCCTGGAAGTCTTATTTTTGACCGACCGTGCATATGGTCCTATGCCCAAAACAGTTCCAGGGAATCAGGGCTAACGGTCGGTCTTTCTGTCTGGAGTATATAAGTAAATAACTCACATGAACAGAGCCTTTTCAAGTGCATTGGGCAAGGTATATTGCAGGGCCCATAGTCCTGAGGCAAGAGGCTGGTCAGCAGGCCCCTCCAAGAACCTGTGACGAGGTTACTTTCGTCACAAGTATATTTTGTTGTTGCTTATGTGCTGGGTTAGTGAATACTTGGAGAAATCATACCAGATGAAGTTAAACCCTGCATTAAACAGGGAAACATTGTTTCCACTGTTGGTGAGTATACCTGACACCCCTACATATTGAGATGGAAGGATAATTTATATTAGAGTGCTAGGGCCCAATGAAAAGAAGAACATGAAATTGTAAATGTCTTTGTTCCAATTCCACTAAGTCAAAAAGTCCCAACATATTCTAGCCCTGATACAACTTCCTCTTCATCCCTTTTCCAGGCCAAATAGAAAACAGCTTTGATATCAAGTATAACCACTTTGGGAAGGCAGATGACTCCTACCCCATAAGTCCTCTCCTGCCTGTATCCCATTATCTCTTACACATACAGAAATTGCCGCTAGCTACATCTATAAGCCCAGGAGTTTGCAATAAATGTTATGCTTAAACACATTTACTTGGCATAGAAGCAATTGTACCTCCCAGTTATTAATCAGACAGCTGGGAGGGTGCTTTTTCTGCTTTGTGCCCCAGTGCAAAGCAGATGTCTATGCTTCTCTATGAGAAGAATTGCAGCAGGAACAGTGCATCGATTGCTGATCATGTGGCCAGCATTTCAGTGCTTCACTTTGAGAAGTATCAAACTGACTGGGAGATCATTGACTCTGATGATTTTCTGGTAGGAGGAGCACATGCCCATTAAGGCTATTGAGTTTTTATTGTTTTGCTCTCACGTACTTGGTGCATACATATTTATTTACCTTAATCAATTATGCCAACAGGTGGTAATTACCATCAAACTAATATACAGGTTAAAGTACAATCATTAAGTGAAACAGAAACAATTGTGTAGGAGCAATAAAACTGGGCGAGGAACAGCCAAACTCTGCTAACATGGTGAGGTTGCTGAATGCAGTTCTATGTCAAAAGTTATACACTACGGCAAGACTGACACAGGAATAAGACACAAGTTAGTTACACGGCATCTGCAAAGTCTTTCCTAGGCATGCCATTACAAGGCAGATAGGTGTTTCCAGAGTTGCTAACCAAGTTCTGCTGAGGAAGCACAAACAAATGGTAGCATGGAGGACTGTAGCTACAGTGGTTAGGCAAGGGAATTTAGTACAGCATGTGAAAGACATATCATATTTACTTTGCAACTGGAAGATGTCCAGCATTTCCATCAGCTTAAAATTAGCAGAAACCTGGGAGACATCTATTATCTGTTAAAATGTGGTCAGAAGTGGTCTTTATGGAAGACTTGTGGCCAACAGACATACTTTTGATGTGGAAACAAGACCACTTGGACTATGAGAATACAGGAACTGCAGTGCCAAAATATCAGCAGGTGCTTGTAACGGATCGCCTGGAACCTGACTGGGTACCTCCGTTTGAAGGATGCTCCTAGTGCTTCTCGAGGGCTTCATCACTCCGAACCGCCGCAGCTTGGTTGGGGTCTCGCCATCTTCCTCCTTCTCTGGGCCCAAGACCAGGGACCAGCTTGCAGTAGGTAGACCTCTCCTAAAACCAGAGAGCAAGAACAGGAACAAGCTCTTACAAGAGTTTACTCTGTGGAGTATAGTGATTATAGCAATCCCCAGAGTGAAGGTAGTTCTCGAATCCCCCAAACATAAGACGAAACTTCATGAAGGGAAGAACAAGTCTCTTTAATGAGCACAAAGGCATTTCTTTTATACACATTTTCCCTACAAGGTTATCACCCACGTGGATCTTGTGGAGCACAAGACACAAAGGACACAAACCAATCAAAACGATACAATAATGTCCGACACTCCCACATACAGCACACAAGCCCTCCCCTCTGCCTGGGATATAATTAAAGTAGCTAATACAATAATCTAATTATCCACAGGCAGAAAAACACACATTTTCCCCAAAGTCTAGAAAGCACCCCAAAACACAACACATCCCCATTATCCATCCATAGATAGCCCTGATCTGGGTGAGCAACCTATCCAAAAATCACCCAGATCAGAGCAGGGGTTCAAAAGTTTTGTGGAAGTCTCTTTTGACCGACCTAGGGTAATAGGATTGGTATTGGGCTTGTTTCTTACTAGTCTGTACTAATCTTCTTATTGATTTCTATGTTGAGTTATGCCCTAAGTACCCCACAACCATTACAGACTCGGTGTTAGATTCTCTTTCATCGTGTTTGCATATTTATCGAATCTGAATACAAGTTGCTATCTTTCTGGTAAAGAATGCTTCAGGTGATGAATGCGATTGTGCTGACCATTGATGAGGGCTGCTGAAGATGCTGATGGGAGGTGGAGCATGTGTGTATGGGGGGCAGTATGTGTGTATGGGGGACAGTGTGTGTGTGGGGGCAGTGTGTTGAAGGTATGGGGGTGTGTGTGTATAGAGGGTGTGTGTGTGTATAGGGGTGTGTGTGTGTGTGTGTGTGTGTGGGCAGTGTGTGTGTGATGGTATGGGGACAGAATATGTGTATAGGGGCAGTGTGTGTATAGGAGGCAGTGTGTGTATGGGGCTGTGTGTGTGTGTATGGGGCAGTGTGTGTGAGGGGTGCAGTGTGTTTGAGGAGTACAGTGTGTGTATGGGGCAGTGTGTGGGGGCAGTGTGTGTGGGGGCAGTGTGTGTAGGGGGGCAGTGTGTGTGTGGGGGGACAGTGTGTGTATATAGGGGACAGTGTGTGTATGGGTGGCAGTGTGTGAGTAGGGGCAGTGTGTGTGTATGGCGGAGAATTATTATGGGTCTGTGGGGTTGAAGGGTAGATTAATAAATTTATCTTTTTTTTAATTAATAAAAAATAATAATTTTGATATCCCATTATACAGCATGGGAAAATTCCAAAGAACTTCCCCACGCTGTGTAGAATGATTACAGAGCATTCAGATTGGTTGGATTTCAAGCCTGGATTACTTCTCAGTCGCTTAAACCAACCAATCAGAGCGCTTTGAGTGCAGGGCATGGGAAGGCTTTACAAGCTCAGTCGGCGCCGTACCATCCATGGCTGAAGATGGATAATATTTTACCGTCTAGATTTATTTTTTCTGTCTTATTTTTTTTTACGCTCAAGTTTTTTATTTTATTTTCAAAGTTCGACGGGTACTATAGATTTTTATTTCGCCTTTTTGGGGGCTGAAAAATAGAAGGTTTTTAGAAAAAAAAATATATCAAATGGTAAGTTTGTTTTATTTACAAGTATTTAGTTTTCTTTCCCCCCCCCTCACTATTTTAAGGGTGAGGGGGGTAGGTAGGAATTTATTTACTTTTTTGGGGGTTGGGGGGTGACTAGGGACTTGGAGACTCCTAGTCACCTGGAGGGATCATTTAGCACCCACACGCCACTCATGGGTGGGGGTCATGGGGAGGAGGACAATAGGTCCCCCATTGTTGTTTAAAGCCCCCACTCGCATGGCACGGGTGGGTATTCAGGAGGGGGGACACTAGGGTTTTTTGTTTTTTTTTACAGTGAGCAGCCACTGGTTGCTCACTGTTTAGTAGATATGTCCCTACTCACGGCATAGCGAGAAGGGGCGTTTGGGAGATTTCAATCTCCCTTATGCTATTATGGGGGTAATATTGACCCCATAGAGTGAGGGGGGACATGGAGCCAGTAGCTCCCTCCTTGTAATAAAGCAAACGAATGAACGGATAGGTCTTCGTTCATTGTTTTGAAATTTCTATTCATTTATTTGTCTTTCTGATTAAAAAAAATAAGTAATATGGGGGCTTAGGGGCATTTGGGGGTAACTAGTGGGACAAAACAAAGTAGTGGACTCGGGAGGAGGAGTTAAAAAAAATGTGATTCGGCAATGACAGGCCAGCTTTAAAGGAACACTCTAGTCACCTAAATTACTTTAGCTAAATAAAGCAGCTTTAGTGTATAGATCATTCCCCTGCAATTTCACTGCTCAATTCACTGCCATTTAGGAGTTAAATCACTTTGTTTCTGTTTATCCAGCCCTAGCCACACCTCCATTGGCTATGATTGACAGAGCCTGCATGAAAAAAAAAACTGACTTCACTTTCAAACAGATGTCATTTACCTTAAATAATTGTATCTCAATCTCTAAATTGAACTTTAATCACATACAGGAAGCACTTGCAGGGTCTAGCAAGCTATTAACATAGCAGGAATAAGAACATCTTAATTAAACAGAACCTGCAATAAAGAAAGCCTAAATAGGGTGAGTGGTGAGGCTGCAGGGGCATGTTCTATACACTAAAACTCCTTCATTAAGCTAAAGCTGTTTAATAGACATTTACCTATTTTGAGATTGACATACATATAAGGAAACTGAATTAAGGAGCTTTCTACTAAACAGTTGAAAGTTTAAAATTCCTAAATTTGAATGATCAGCGGTTTAATAGATTGCACCCTAATTTGGTATCCTTATACATGGAAATTCCACATAAGGATACCACATTAGGGAGTTATCTACTAAACTACTGAAGTTTAAAATTAAGATAAGGAATTTTGCAAAGTGTAGTATTTGAGCAGTTTAATATATAATTCCCTAACTTTGTTTCCTTACGTGGAATTAAATTTTGATCTTTCAGCTGTTTAGTAGATAGGTCCTTAATTTTGTTTCCTTATATATAGCAATCCCTGGATACCAGATCACAAGATTGTCTATTAAACTGATCAAAGATGAAAAAAAAAATCTATTTTCTCAATTTTAAACTTTCAGCAGTTTAATAGATAATTCCTTAACTTTATATTCTTATGTGGGATTAACATAAACACGGATACCAAAGTAAGGATATATCTATTAAACAGCTGAAAG